TTCAATTAAATCTAATAAAGTAAAATTTATTCAATAGTTATTTCATTTCAACTCTGTTTTTTAAATCTATAGCCATATTATTCAAATACAAGTTTTACTTTAACACAAAAAGCAAGTCGATTTTGGATACCTTTTGATGTTAAACTTTTTGAAAGTAAATCTTATTTTACTTATGAACATAATAAATAAATATTTTTATTTTTTTCAAGCTCTTACTCCCTTAGAATATTTAGAAAATTATTGTCGAGTCAGTAATCGAAGATATACGATTTATAAACGTATTTTTGATAGACATAAAGATTTTGAAGCAACATTGAATATTGAAGTAATAAACTAGAAACTTGTCTAATCATATTTTATTACTTATAAGAAACGTTTTTTTGTTGTTTAGAATCTTCCCGATGCTCTATCTGATGTATATATGGAAACAATCGATATGCGATTGATAACACAAGTCATTAATTTACTTGATTTATCATTAAATATAAGAATAACATTTGCACAATTTCGTGGTATTGCAGCATTTTCTGAACGATATTTTTTTCATATTTCAAAGTAAATTAACTATTGAATATTGGAAAAAAAATTCTAATTATTAATTTTCTTAGTCGATCAAATGATATAGATCCACAGTTGGCAAAAGATATTATGGAAATACTTGATTTTTCTTCACTAGAATGGAAATTAACTGATATTAAGATCTCACTAATACTTCGAGATATTCTTAAATTTTTATAAAAATAAATCAAGAAAATAGTTATTCTGACTATAGAGTATGAAAAACGAAATTATACAATATCATCAAAAGTTATTTAAAAAAAAGCAACCTAAAATAATCTTTATTTGGTTTTTCTTTCTTCATCTTAAATTAACTAACTGATAACATTTCTATATAAATATATACATAATGACTAATTTTTTCTTTCTTCGTATTCTATCGATTTTTATGAAATCGACACATGTCGTAATCGTAAACAATGTATTCTTTTGACATATTTAACATTACTTTTAGGGACATCAGGAATTATATTTCGAATTATAATTATTGTGAAAAATGTTTACCTTTGTTATTCTATGTCAAATAGACAATTAATTTACAGAAACTTTGTGTATATCATTTTAACAGTGTGAATTTATCTATTTAAAGAATTAATTAGTAAAAAAATAATAATAAAAACATCTGATGTAAATATTAAAAATAAATATTGATGTTATTCTATTCACATGTTTTTAATTAGAATAAAAACATGTGTAAAGAAAATTATCTTTTTTTATAGCTTATGTTTTATAATATGAAGTAAATACAGAAAAAATGACTTTTTTTTTCTTATAAAAGAAGATTTAATTGAATTTTTCTCTTTAATTCTAGACAAAAAATATGTATTATAATCGTAGAAAAATCGATATGACTTTTCTCGCCTGGTCTTGGTTTTTTTCCATGTCAAAGAAAAAAAAAAGAAGAAGACGGTATTAATAAGTGAAAAAACGTTTTTGACGGTTCTGTCTACATTGACATGTAAAAATGACTTAAAGATACAGACTAAAGAAATGATGAACTTATTATTTTCTTTTCTTTTAATAAATGAAGTGAGTTGTATAATCATTATTAGTTATGTTAAATTCTTATATTCAATTTAATATTTAATATATTTTGCAAATAATATGAATGAATTAGATAATAAAACAACAACAACAATAATATTAACTGATCATCATACTGAAGAATCAGTTTATGATGATAATAAAGATATAATATGGCCAACTGTTGTTGGTATATTTGTTGCATTAGCATTGGGATGGATGATTTGTCGATATAAATGTTCATCTAATGATCGATCTCCACATATTGTTCAATGTTGTCCAAAATCATTATGTAAAAGAATTCGATTATGCTGTATATGCATATTTAGGTATTTTACAAAAGAAATAATAATAATATTATTATTATTAATATTTCATATAGTTCATGTAGATTTAAAAATGACTCACAACAACCACAACAACAACGTTCAACTTCTGATTTACGAATGACAATTAATAGAGGAAGGTATGATTTTATTGTTGTTTAATTATTCTTATTTTCATTTTTATCTATTTTTAAGGCCATCGAACACAAGTGTAGTAGAAATTCCATTTATCGTAAATAATACAAATAATAATCCATCATTAAATACACAATCTCTTCCACAATGGCCACCACCATTTCTTTTAAATAATACTAATCAGGGACCATCACTTCCATTATCAATAACGATTCAGTCACCTATAAACTCATCTGAACCTAAACGACATCCATTACGTCGAGAATCATTATTACCCGAAGCAGAACAGAGTAATGAGAGACGTGATTCTTCTCCATGGCCATTTCAAACTACAAATATGGTTTTTCATAACCAAACAAATGAAATAAAAAAAAGTCATCTATTTTTTAATACTTAATTAATATCTATCGATACATTTATTATTGTTAAATTTTTCAAATATAAAAGTACATTGAAAAATCCATTTAATTATTTTCTTTTTACATATTATATAAAATACTAAAAGATTATAATGATTGACAATAGACATGTGAAGGCAAATCTGACATAATAAATGCCAGATTGACGAGAAAAATTTATCTTCTGGAAAAACAAAATCATGAGTTATTAATAAATTAAAATTTAAAAGTACAACTAAAAAATTCTCTCAATGCGATGTTGTTTATACTGGCAGCAAGTTTACATTAGAATTTTCAAGCCGTAAATATTTTATGAGAAGCTCTACAATATACACAAATATTACTAATTTTATAGTTGCATTTTTTGTCTTCAGTACGGACAAAATATTGAGAACATAAACTAAGGTCGAAAAATTGCCCATTTTGTAAAACAAAAAGTACAATGATAAAATTAGTGATCCTGCATAAATTGTAGAGTTTCTCATGCTGCATCTAATAACATGTTTTGATTTTTAATACAATGTATTACCGGTTTGAAATTTGCGATGAAAAACACAATCATTTAATCTGTGCTACCTGTACGAATATTATCGAAAATGTAGCATCGTAATATTAGTTGAATTTAATGAAAAGATATTTATTTTTATCTTTGAATGATAAGAGAAAGATTTTATCAGATAATGACTTGTAATTAAACAAAGAAAAGAATTTAAAAAATGTTGCATGTAATCAATTCTTTGACTATGAAATATGATCAAAAAGTGAACACATTTTTTGTTCTCTTGAGAATAACATCGATTCTCATTCATCTCCCGTGTGTGTTACAACAATTAATGTATTGAACAGAGACTTTGTTCTTTTTTTTCCTATATATTGATTATTGGTATTGAGAAAAAGATCGTGATGAATAGCAGTCATGCTTCTGGTAGAAATAGATGAATGAGGAAAAAAGAAATTTGACCGTTTTATCGTAGACTATACTCATCATACCATTTGTTCACCTTTTCTTCTTCTTCTTCTTCTTTCTCTTTGTGTTAGACAATCATTATTCTTAACAATATCAATGCGTTCACCATCTATTAATGATAAACCACAACAAACAAATATCAATAAAGTAAAAAAAACGAATTATTTCTTGTCTTTTTATTACGTATGATTTTAGTTAAGGATAAATAATTCAGTAATGGATTATTCATTAAAAGAATTACAGCAAATAGTCACTCATCAACAAGAACAAATTGAACATAATCAACAATTATTAATCTCACGTGAACAACGTCTTAAATATCTTAAACAAGAAGAAACATTACGTGCAAAACGTTTTAAACAAAATATTCAACAACAAGAAATGAAACATTTACGTTTAAGAACACTTGAAAATCAAATAAATCAATATAAAATATCAAATTCAACATTTGGTTTGTTTAAAAAAACAAAAAGATTTTCTTTTTATTTATATATAAATTTCTTTTAAGAAAATGAATTAGATATATTAAAACAAATATTTTTAAATAAAGAAGATGAATTAACCAAATCATTACATAAAATAAATGATTTAACAAAACAATGTGAACAAATAAGAAAATTAAAATTAACAGCAAATAAAGAACAATCACAAAATAGAAATGAATTAGATAAATTAAAACAAGAATTATTAGTAAAATAATTTTTTAACCTTTTAATTTTTTCTTTTTATAAGAAATAAAAAATATTTTTTAGATAAGAAATAAATTAAATGAACAACAAAATCGTCAAATAACTTATCAACGTGAAATCTATGCATCAAAACAAGCCGAATTAAATCAATTAAATTATCGAATAAATGATATTCAACAAAGTTTAATGAAAAAAAAAATATGTCAAACAATAACAACAACACCTGTTCAAACAATTTCATCATCGAATCATTTTAAAATCGCTTTAGATAATGTACAAAATACATTGAATAATATTAATATAGCTGAAATTGAAAAACGTATGGTACAATTAGCAAATTCATTTAATTCAATTAATACAAATGAAACATCGATAATACCTGAAATTAACAATGTGAATAGTCTAATGATATTTCATTTAAATTCATATTTTTATAATTTTCTTTTGTATGTATATATAGACAAACAATTCTTCTTCATCATCATCATCGATGGTTACATCTAAACAAGTACTTGCGTCTAAAAATGAAATAGCAGCAACATCTGTGATGTGTTCATCAAATACATCAGTATCATTTTCACCACTTTCAAATGAATCAATAAAAATTGAAGAACAATTATTACCACCTAATCTACGTTTAAATGATGATATACTTTCAGTTCATTTTAATAATAAAGCATCAAATGTTAAAAAACGTCATTCATTATGTGATCCATGTGATTCATTAATAAAATACTTATCACCAAATACTGAACAACAACAACCAATTCAAGTTCGAGATGATTCATTCATAAATTCATCTTTATCAAAAACAGAATCAACTATTGTTGCATATGAAAGTCTTGTAGATTTTCAAAGTAAAATTACTTGTAAGAAATCAGATGAAGGAGAAGAAGATGAAGAAGACAAAGAAGAACAATCAATAATGGAATCATTTATATCTGATACAGAATCTGAAGGTTCAGTTTCTGACGATATTGAATCAAATTTATCATTTCCAGTAACTATATTACCATCTGATACGAATCTTAAATCTTTATTAAAAACTTCAACAACACCTAAAAATACTTCTCGACGTGTTATATTTGATCCATTAACAATTCTTCTTGATGCCGCTGTTATTGGAGATCTTGAACTTGTTACAAAATCTGCAAAAGAAGTTTGTATATATAAATTTTTTTTGTTTGTTTTTATTTCTATTTTTAAATATACCTTTAGGTGAAAAATATAAGTCAACCAAATGATGAAGGTTTAACAGCTTTACATAATGCAGTATGTGCAGCAAATATTGAATGTATTAAATTTTTAGTTAAATTTGGTTGTGATATTAATTATGCTGATAATGATGGTTGGACATCTTTACATTGTGCTGCATCATGTAATCAAACATTTATAGTAGAATTTTTAATTAAACATGGAGCTTGTATATATGCAACAACGATTCGAGATAATGAAACAGCTGCTGATAAATGTGAAGAAGATGAAGAAAATTATACAGATTGTTCACAATATCTTTTAAGTAAAATTTAAAAAAATATTATTAGTTGTATTTACCTTTTTTTCCCTAGATGTACAAAATGATTTAGGTGTAATTAATGATGGATTAGTTTATGCTTTATATGATTATGAACCAGATTCATTA